CAAAAGAGGGGGGGAAGGTATCCCCCCCCGGTTTTCCCCGCAGATTGGGTTTGATTATTCACAAATTCTAAGACATAGGATTCGAGGTATGGAAATAAGCGCAGTGCCGCATACAAATACAAGCCTAATTTCATGCACATTGATGTTATCATGTCATAAGTCAATATCGTACAGTAGAGGAAAATCATCATCCTGATCCTTTTCCCAGCCATGATGAACAGCATGGCAATGAACACATAGTGCAAGTACGGATTTACATAGCAGAGCCACTTGATCAAAGTCAGAAACATTTTTTTACCGGAGACTACTTAACACAGAAAAATGCGTATAATAAATTTTAACAAAATCTAAGAAAGCAGTTTTAACGCCCAGCTAGCTCAGCCCTGCCGTTATCCCCGCCCCACGCCTGGGCACCAAATTAACGTCTTGGTTTCGACTGCCGCCAGCAACAAAAAGCACCACGCGGCCGCCCCTCCCCCCGCCGGTGTGCAGAGGAGAATGGAAAGAAGCAGGCAGAAACTGGTGGGTCGGGATAAGGGCAGTTTAACAGAACAGCAAACAGAGGGAACAGTAACAACAACGATACAGATAAGAAGAAAATACGATACGACACAAACTCGCACAACAGACCCGTTCTCCTGGACAGGACCGGCGCTGCGCGCTCCTGAGCCGCGAGTGAGTCCCCGCTGCGCTTTTTTGACATACAACAAAACTAAATTTATGGTTATAAGCAGGGCATTTAAAAGAGAAATCAAATCTACACTTGCTATTCCAGGAGGAGCAGCTCTGCACTTTTTCTAAGACAGAGAAGTAGGAAACGGTGCAGGAGGAAAGTTTAGGGTTTATGCAGAGAGTAGTAACTACTGCAACTTTGTGCATTTTGTAATATATTAAGTAAAAGTAGCCTTTTTAACACCACAAACCAAAAAATTAAATTTTGTCTTCTCTTCCTCATATGCTTTAATCACTCCCTCTGTCACACTGCCAGTCTAAATACAGGAACTTAGAGGAAGATCCCTTAAATGCCAAACGGACATCGATTCGATTCCTTGGCTCCCTGTGAATAGCACTCTGAGATTTAAAAAAGTTTCTACCTCGTATGTATTAAATGTATACACTATCCAGGATTTCTTCACTCTGAAGACATTTGGCTAAGCAAAAGCTTATTCCCATAGATGTAAAGTCCATTTAGTTGGTCCTTTTGAGTAATCTTTTCTGCAAAATACCGACTGGAAACACATTATCGTAATAGTATGAAGGAGAACAGAGAAGCCAGCTATTGTGCCGATCTTCAGTCGTTCATCATCACTAAACTTAGCTCCCCCTCCACATTACTGGTATGTGACCAGACAACGGGCGCTCCGTAGCTGCCCGCCTGCGGTTATCAACACGTGGGGCCCATGGAGGTGCAGCGGCACAGCGCGTTGCCTTCCTCCGGGCATGTCACCATCAGCACTGGGTCCAAGCATCCAGCCAAAAACTGTGGCAATTTTAGAAGAGAAATTGCTTGCTCACTGGCTACAACAAAAAATATTTTTGCATATTGCCCAAGTCATATACTTTCACACACGTGTACAGCCAATGAAAAAAAAAAGAGAAAACTTCTCCCTTTGCTCCAGCTCCGTGACCCTTCCA